CACAATTTCTGTAGAAATAACAAACTAGACTGCCGTATTACTAAAGACTGAAGTAATACTTCAAAACCTGAAAACCATCACACTTTTGTCAGAGAAATTTATTTTACTTATCAGCGAAGTTTTTAGTGTACCAATTTGCCATGTTATGCAAATTTAAATGATTGATTATTAGACAGAGAACGTCTAACAATATTAATAAAATATTATCTTATCTTTGTGTGTAACTGTTCATCAAGTACAAGTACGTACCCCTTAAATTTATTTCATAAGAAGATATCAGCAAACTATTTGTTTTCTCTCTTTGACCCACACGAAACATAGAAAACTTTGTTGTTAATTGTTAGCTTTAGTATAAGAAACAAAAATAATTTACAATCGACCTTAGACCTATTATCAAACTTTAAAAGAACATGATCAGGTATATAACTAACAGTATTTATTAGATGTAAAAAGTAAAGGTACATTCTAAAAGTGCATTTTACACAACTTGGGAATTTCCCATAAAATGTATCAAATATAATTTTCATTAAATAATATTATGATTGTAATATTTGCATATCGTAATGCTTGAATTAATTAAATATCAAATAGGTCTGTACATCTTAGATATAACAATTATAAAATTAGTAATTTAAGAAAAAAAAACAGTTTTTGTTTTGAATGTATAAAATAATTCTGATAATAGAAAAATTGATTAACGAACAATTATATATATATATATATATATATATAATAAATAAATCGTATGGAGTATAGGTCGATAAATATTTACTCACAACACGCCACTAATATGATTAGATTATTATTTATTATTTTTAATATAAATAACAATTATAGTTTATATATATATATATATATAATATTAATTAATTAATTTTTATTTTATAATTGCATATGAATACTGGGCCTCACTGAGAGAACTCGTGCCCAGGAGTTCAAAAATATCGTTACATTAAAATTACAGGTTATTATATATGTAAAAAGCGGGTAAGTGGGTTATATTATAATTAAATTTATATTATCGCTCTGCTGTACATTAGGGGGTGGGGTGGACCTCTGACTGTAGTATAAATTTGAATGGAATGATAGGTATCATTTTCAACGAAAAACGATTCTGAACGGAAACGGGTTATCTGTCTAGGATATATTATAGATTATTAAAAATGTTCATATCTTAGATTTAAAAAGAAAAATTTTTATGAATTTCTAGCATAAAATAATTTATAAATTTTCGTGATTTTTACGTATGTTGTCAAAATTAAAATTTAAATGCTTTTAAAAAAAAATTATTCATATATATTTCTTTTATTTTTCAACTGCTATTGTAAAAATAT